AATGTGATGGTGAGATGAAATTGGTTGAGTGCAATGATAGGTCAGATGGTTGTAAGTGGGAATGTAGAAAACAGTTGAATAGTAAAAGACATAAGGTTGAGTTGTCAATTCGGAAAGGTAGTTGGTTTGAGAGAAGTAATTTAACGTTGGAAGAAATTTTAAAGTTGACGTACTGGTGGTGTAGAGGCGTTGAACAGGAAATGATGAGGTTTGAAGTTGATGTTAGTGGAAATACGGTCGTTGATTGGGATAGCTTTTGTAGGGAAATCTGTGAGGTATATTATTTAGAGTGTGAGGAAAAAATTGGTGGTCCAAATAAGAGGGTGCAAATAGACGAAAGTAAATTTGGAAAACGCAAATATCACAGAGGTCATAGGGTAGAAGGGCAATGGGTGTTTGGCGGTATAGAGGAGGAAAGTCGGAAAAGTTTTATGTTCGCGGTTGATGACAGAAGCGAAGCGACGCTACTGCCAATCATCGAAACCTTCATAGAAAAGGGCACAACCATAATATCTGATTGTTGGAAAGCCTATACTAATCTCGAGAAACATGGTTACAAGCATTCGCTTGTAAATCACTCAAAGGAATTTGTGAACAAGGATGGTGACCACACCAACAAAATCGAAGGACATTGGCGTCAGGCGAAGGCAAAATTACCAGCATTTGGCACGCAAGTATATGTTTTCGTCATATTTAGCTGAGTTTTTGTGGAGATATGAACACAAAGGTGAAGACTTATTTGAGGTTTTCTTAAAGGATGCAATGAAAATATACGGACAGTTTTAAAAGCGAAACAATGTTTGTGGTTTGAGAAAGCAAAATGACTATGAGGTGGCAAAAACATTGTAATTGTGTATGAATAAGTAGCAAAAATAGAAGTGTGTTATCTAGACATGCATATTGTATAATAATTAATGTATAATTTGTGTAGGTTTACAAGTTATAAAGTTTGAGTGCTATAGCTGAGTGTATGCATGTTTATGCGCTAGATATGAATTAATATATGCATGCATCAGTGGTGCATCGTTTATTTGTGTGCGTATTAAAAAATACAATAACAGGTGCATGATGTAATTTTTGTATGGTAGTATTTTGAATTTTGATAGTGTTTGGTTTGGGGGGATTTCTGTGCAGGTTTATTGAGAACGAGAAATACAATATACTGATGTCTGATGAGTAATATTTTTTGCGGGGTTTATTGAGAACGAAAAATACAATATACTGTATGAGTCGAGTAATATTATTCAACTGATATATCAGTAATATTTTGTGCGGGGCAGTTTATTGAGAACGAGAAATACAATATACTGATGAGTAATATTTTGTGCGGGGTTTTATTGAGAACGTGAGAAATACAATATACGAGTAATATTTTGTGCGGGGTTTATTAAGAACGAGAAATACAATATATGAGTAATATTTTGTGCGGGTTTATTGAGAACGAGAAATACAATATATGAGTAATATTTTGTCCGGTGTTTATTAATATAGAATATAGAGAAATACAATATATGAGTAATATTTTGTGCGGGGTTTATTGAGAACGAGAAATACAATATATGAGTAATATTTTGTCCGGTGTTTATTAAGTATTTAAGAACGAGAAATGTAATATATTTATAACCCCTTATTATTGAAAATAGAATATAGATTAATTATTTGATTAACGATTCCCCGTTTATTTAAATACCGAAACACTCGAATAATTACGTAATTTCCTTCACTGCGTATCACCGTATCCCCGTATCATTGAAACTTAATATTTACCCAGTCCCTTTATTTAAAAAACCCAAACACTCGAATAATTACGTCATTTCATGATTCACTGCGTATCACCGTATCCCCCAAAAATAAACAGTATCAGAAGTGGACGGGTATTCTATAATCTAGCCAAAGCCTTAAAAAGTCCAGAAAGTGAAGCGGCTATTAATAGGCATAGGCGTAATAGTCTTGTTATAATCCCGTTGCAAGAAAGACTATACGGCCGTCTGTATCTATTCTCGTTATATTTTCTCGCGCCAACAAGAACAATGTAAAAATCAAGCTTTTCCTATAGAATGGCCAAAACATTCTTTCCAAGGAGTAAATCTTTAACTGCTATCTCTTGCTCGCGTTTGACAATCAGTTCGCGTTTCGACTTTCGAGAAGCGTTCAGTTTTACAACACCTATTAATTAAAGCGAATGCATGCATCATTAAAGTGTCAAATCTATGTTTACATATTAAAGTGTATTCACTTTTGAGTGACAGCTGCTCAGACTCGCAGCCAATCATCAATTTCCGTCCACTGGTGGACGGGGAATTCGATTACACTGCCAAACCCAGCAGGCGGTATTTCCCAGGCTTGCCCAATTTTAGGAACCGCCTGCCATGCAGGCTAATGCATGAGCGAATATAGTCAACGAGGCGAAACCAAGCTGACTATTCGATTACCAACAACGAGGCTGAGTTTTCTGATTGATTTAGTTTAAACAAGATAACGTAAACTGAATTTTTAACTTGTAAATTAATAACTTTTTAACGATCGAGCCTTTAAATGGCTTCCCTTGGGTTTACCGATATTTCGTCTCGGCCATGTTGATAGCTACTCAGTGTGGCGGCGAACACCACCGAAAGACTTGAAAATACTAGTACTTGTGAGTTTAAAAACAAGTTTAAAAAACATGTCGTAAAACGGTATAACATTAATGGGTCGTTCTATACAAGCAAAGTTTGGCTAATTAAAAGAAGGAAATGAGGCTTAAAAGTCTAAAAAAATTTCAAACTGTACACAAATTGGCTTCCTGAATGTCGTTAAAATCTTTCAAATATCTCGAAAATTAGTATAGGAAATTACACGGTTCGAGAAGTATTAATAAAAAATCACATGGGTGTTTGGCGAGCAGTACTATAAATACTTTGCCAAACACAAGCATAAATGAAAGCATATTGTAAAATAAGAGCTCAGAAAATGTACATTTTCAAGTTGTTTATTGTGTTGACATTTTGTGTTTAATGCACGCATGATCCACGCAGGCCGTATCGAGCCGATTAATCTTTAATCGCTTCACCTGTGCGATTAATGTTTAATCGGTACGGCTATCAACAATCAGAATCGAGTAAATTGACTATAAAACTGAGATTAAAGAGGCAAACCCTTTCCGTCATCTAGTATACTTAGACGAAAATTTAGATTGAAATTTGATCGAAAAACTCCATTAAAAAGGCTCACCGAAGGTGAAATACAAACTCGGCCAAAATCTCGACATTTAATTAAACGAAAAAAAACAACTTTTAAAATGATAGCTCATACACGAACTCGCACTTAAAACAAGCACACTCTAAAAAGGTCGAGAAAATCAGAAAATAAGGGAGGGGGAAGTATCTACAAACTGTTGTTGAATTTTGTCGAGTCTGCTTGGAATATTAACAAACATTTCGCATATATTTAAAAAATCGCGAAATTATCCATAAATAACACTGCATTTTGAGGAAAATTCGCGAAAATTGAACAATTTTAAAAGGAATTTCGACATGGAAACAGCAACTTTCGCAAATCGCAAGTTAGGTTTGGCTAATATGGTTGGGCTGCGCTGTTTTATATTTTGAGAAGAAAGCGACACCGTTCGATTCAGCGTAAGAAATTGTACTTACGGATGTCAAGTGTATTACTAAACAGCAGTATTCTAGCAATTTATGGCCTTTGAAAATCAAGCGAAATTGTATTGTTGACAAATCGCTCGCAGTACGTATCGTTGACAAATCACTGGCAGTACATTTGTCCTTATATTTGTAATGCCTATAATGGCGCAATAAGGATAAAAATACCAGTGTTCGATTTAGGGTAAAAAATTGTACTTACGGATTTCAAATGTATTACAAATGTAGCATTATGCACCAGTATTCTAGCGATTTATGGCCTTCGAAAATCAGGCAAAATTGCATTGTTGGCAAATCGCTCGCAGTACGTTTCATAGTTTATTTGTAATGCCTGATGGCGCAATAAGGATAAAAATACCACCGTTCGATTCAGCGTTAGAAATTGTACTGATTACGAATGTCAAATGTACTGAGTATTACTAAACAACAGTATTGTAGCGATTTATGGCCTTGTCTTTGAAAGCCAAACGAAATTGTATTGTTGACAAATCGCTCAAAATTATTTAACTAATTAAAAAAAAATGCAGTACGTTTGATCCTTGATAACTTTGGTACATTGTTTTTTCTTTTTCGGCCGTATACCAGTGGATTCGTCTCACTTCTCTCTTCATTTTGATAGTATTTTGAGCCCAAAAGCCCCCAAATATTTTATTTTGAACGTTTTAATTAAAGCGCAGTTTAATCCTAGCGTACGGACCAACTGGCGGCTGACAGTCTTGAAGAAATAGAATGTAGCGTACTAAATATAACTTTACTTGTAGGGCCAACCGCATTTTAGTACTGTGTTAAGCCTTTCGCGCCGGTATTCGACTTTTCTGCTTAGCTCGGGGGAAACCTTAAATGTTAATTGAAATAGCTGTGTACTGTATGTATCATGTACAGTAATGTGCGTATTTGTATAGCCCTAGACTTGGTTCAAGTCCGTCTCTCAAGGGGTTAAAAATAGCGATTCACGCGAGCTGTCAAAAAAGGTGCGAAAAGACGGACTTCAACCAAGTCTAGTACAGCCCCAGCGAGTTAACGCTCCTTAGAGCGTCTTGTTATTAAATAATTTGCTTTGTAACTAATATTTTGTAACTTCTTTTCCAATTGTTTATAAATGTGCGAAACAAACAAAAATTTCTAAGGTCAGAAGGTATTTGTTGCATCTGTGCCAAGACATTTTAATAAGCATCTGTTCCAAGACAGTTTTAATGTATGTCCATATGTCTTGGGATACGAAGAAGAAAGTAGCTGAAGATACTGGACGTTTGTTTTTCAAAGTTTATCAATCTAAGAGATTACGAAAAATGTTTAGTATAGTACACAGGTAAAAACGCACAACTTGTAACTTGTGGCCACCATTGCTGTTTCAACTTGTTATCAGGATGTATTCGCATTGCTTATTCATTAGTCATAAACATTAGTTATAAAAATATAACATGGGAACAAAAAATCAAACATGTTAATAGTTAGATTGCAAAATATTGGCATACTAAATAATTATATAAATTAAGATATTACCTTGATTTGAAAATGCTCAAACTACTGTGCTATATATATATATATATATATATATATATATATATATATATATATATATATATATATATATATATATATATATATATATATATTTATCTGCCCTTATTTACCCATATTTGAGGTATGGAGTAATTAGATTTGGTAATACGTACGATTTGGTGGTACGGCACGGATAAAAGTTGTACCCGTACCACTGTTTTGTTCTTGGACAACCTATTTAAGTAGTCCAAGAACCAAAAAAGAGGTACGGTACCAAAAATTGAGCGTAGTGTAAACTTGGATTAAATTGCATTAACAAAATATTCTTAGCTCACAGACGTGAAGTGACCATTTGATTGGTTTCTCCTGCCTCCCTTTTTCACTGTGTAGGCAGTGCTCGACTCTACGATTATGTTACTATGTTCATACTCTGAAAGCTTTATTATAAAATTGTAATCTTTGATATAAGTTATGTAAAATATTTGTATACGTCGTGTGCAGTGAATTTAATAAAATTGTAAAAATTGTACGAAAACTTCGGATTTATAGGAATGCAACTACCTAAAAAATTCCAGGAGAAATTGGACGTTTTGATCGAAGGGCCTATAGTCGCTACTAACTTCATGTCGAAGTTATCCTTGTATTATGTACCACCTTGCTACATCACTGAAGTCGCTTAACCTGAAAATCAAGCGCCGCATGCCGTGAAGGCCCACAATCATTCCAAAACCATTGACACCCAGTGCCTTTTTTAACTACACATCTGGGGGGGGGGGCAATTGCCATCTCCCCTCAGGGAAAGAATTCCCCCCCCCCCAGTAAAGCCATTTCTGCCCCCGAAGTGCGAAGCAGAATTGCTCATTATTGCTGTCAGGATTGCAGTTGATTTACTTGATAATGAGATTATGCCCTTCCATAGCCAGGACCACAGCCATCTCGTGTGTAATTCATATTATTCTTCACCGAGTATTTCATAATAGCGACAGATTTCATGCAAACAATCCGATAAAATGCTAGCCTTTCCAACCCTTTCGACTATTTCCTAGCACTCTCCTACGCAGAGGCGTTGTGTTTTGTTTTGTTTTGGGAGGATTAATTTCAAAATTTTTTTCTTAAAAAATATCAAGTTATATTAAGAGCCCCCCCCAATCGCCACAAGAACCATTCTCTCAGAAAGGCTAACTATGTAGAGAAATTGGGTACACGTTACATGCTCGAAGCTCAAGCTGATTAAGTACGTCTCTACTGAGACAAAAAGACGATATGCTGGAGGAACTTGATTTGGGAATTCTCGTTAAAGCAGTTGTAGATATGGTTCCAAGAAGAATAGATTTAGTTTAAATTTTTAACTGTTAAATACATGTATGCATTAGCATAGCATAAATATTTCTTCTCAGACATATTCTGTATCGTATGAAAAAGCAACGCAATTTTGAGAATGCGGAAATGGTGTCTCATAGAACCTAAAATGATTTAAATTCAACATTTCTGATCAAAATCACATTAGGATCCCCCTCCCCAGCATCACAGAGAGGCAGCCTAGACCTAGGCCTTCTATTTTTATTTATATTTTTTTAATATTCAGCGCTTTTTCACATGAAAAGACTCGGACTAGGTAATTTGGGGGCGGGGCGGAGGAAGGACACAAGCCTTGACGCAAGCGAAAATATAGAAGGCCTAGTGGATTTCCCAACAACAAGGCCAAAACTGCCCTGAAACTGCCCTGATTGCGAAATGCCCAATTGTTGCGTTCTTAAACAGAATTATTTGCAACTTAACAGCGAATTTAAACCGATACAGGTAAAATAAACTCATTTATAGTATAAACTTACTATTTTTATTTGTATACACGTCTAGAAAATCGGGTTTTTTATCATAAAGATTAAAGTTTGAAACAACACTATTTATATATGTTGACAAGGTGTAGCGAAATGGCACAAAATAATAATTCTTTTATTCGCAAGACAATCTACTGTTTTGCTTTGAATAACTATATTTGCGAATTGGGAATGAGGAATTTGAAATTAGTGTTCAAATATTACAGATACTAATACCATTTGTATATTAAACAATGTACGTTTTTATATACAGTACTGTACGGGCTAATAATATATGTATCCGTTTTATTTTGTATATTTTACAAACACAAGACTGCTTCTTGCCAAAATTGAGAAAATATATATTAATGTACTTGTGTATAAGACAAAATTTCTTGAAAGATTCTACTTTTGGTATATATTTTGACTCATTTTGTTCTTTCGCTACACCTTGTCAACATATTAAATAATAGTGTTGCTTCGAACTTTATGATAAAAAAACGATTTTCTAGACGTGTATACAAATAAAAATAGTAAGTTTATACTATAAATGAGTTTATTTTACCTGTATCGGTTTAAATTCGCCGTTAAGTTGCAAATAATTCTGTTTGAGAACGCAATAATTGGGCATTTCGCAACCAGGGCAGTTTCAGGGCAGTTTTGGCCTTGTTGTTGGGAAATCAACTAGGCCTTCTAGGCTTGCTTCCTCCGCCCCGCCCCCAAATCACCTAGTCCCAGTCTTTTCATGTGAAAAACCGCTGAATACTAAAAAATATAAATAAGACTAGAAGGCCTAGGTCTAGGCTGACAGAGAGGAAATAAGGTGACACTGACCCCTCCTCCTATTTTTCAAGGTGACTTTTCCAATTAATATAATTCCGAGTAGAAATGTCTAGAAAAATTCATGTCTTCGATGTACTTTATAATATTCGGAATTCTGCTAGATTTCACCACCAAAATGCAAGAAATCGCAATTCAGGGACCCTAAATTTCAAAATTTTCCGGACCCCGGACCTTCCCAAACGGTCGCACGCCTTCGGCGTGAGGTTCGCCCCCCCCCCCTCCGCAAAATTAAGGTTTGCCTACGCCACTGGTTGTAACTGTACGACTATATCTACAACGAGTAGAATTTATTGTTTAAAGTAAAATATAGCTGAAGTTAATAAATGAAAGTTTTACAAAATCTCTCTTCAGACTCGCGAGTTCGCCACACCTCGACGGCTCATATTTTTCGTTCCGCCTTTTTTCCCTGTTCCCCCCCCCCTCCCCCAGTGAAAATTCCTTAAAAAAGGCACTGTTGACAACCGCTCCAGCCAATATTAATATTGCAATGTTAATGCACATTGCCAGCCAAACTCCAGTTCAATATGTTGCTATCATACAGATAGAGCAGAATTGGTCGATTTACCTCAAAAAGTTGCCCCAAAAGCCTGTTTCATCCAAGAGGAATCATCACGTTATAGAAAGTCTTGTCAACATAGCAAAAACTTAGCAAGCTTTGTCAACAACATGTTTCTGTTGTTAATAGGCATGCCCATGCCTACTCAAAAATTCATCATTATCATCAATAATTATTGGTAGTATAGACTGTCTTTCAAACAAATTCCCTCCAACTAATATGATACAGTACATAGCCAAAACTATTTACCGAAAGATTTTTACCAGAGTCAATCTGGAATAAGTATATTTATTATATGCACAAGGTCTGGATATGAGATATTCTGCAATCTGATTGGTTCTCTACAAGCAGGATATTAGCTCATATCCTGCTAGTATAGAAAAACAAAATGGCGGCTCAAACTGAATTTCCGACGTTTTGCGAATGAGAAAACGGCAAGGTGTTCGCTTTTTAGAGCCGTTAATGGATTATAAGCACAATGAAAAAAACTCCTACAAATTGTTTACAGGTTAGCAAATGATTTTTCAAAATTTGGAATGGTTAAAGATATATATTTGTGAAAAAATAACCGGTCAAATTTAAGAGCGAAGATAAAAACAAATAAAAACTCACTCTCGTCGAATATGAGCGATAGCCGATTCGGCGCTAGGCTCCTCATCGGCTATCAGCTCCTATTCGACGAGAGTTTGTAGAATAACTGTTAAATAGAGAATCTGTCCTGCACAATGCCACATTTGAATCAGTTTATTGTTGAAGAGCATTCTAAGACAAGTATCTTAAGTTAATTATTTAGCAATAACATTATTATAGTTTATATGTATAGTATTACTCTACTTTGTTAATATTTCAAGAGTGCATCGCTCCATGAAAGAGCATATTAATTGTAGGGTGATATTGGGCACATATACTTTTATTTTTGTTCTGAAAACTGATAGTAAATGTCAAAACAAACAGGAAGCTCCTTGCTTTGACTATAAGAATACGATATCTGCACGATTTGTTCATCGCTAATGAAGGGCGTGGCATATCGCACTATGGTTCCATGTTGCTCGTTGCTGATATTGAATTGTCGGTTGTAATCTTCAACACAGATGAAAAAGCTGCAAATAATTGGTCACCCTGCTTTTCCAAATCAGATTATGCATTACCAGTTTCCCATTTGAATTTGTATCTAGTGACTGAAGCTTGCACGAAATCTCGAGACTTCTTTCCTTCTCCAATGCAACAAAACCAGTTAACGATACGACTAGAATTTGCGCCGTCTCTATTTGTTGTGCGATAGTACAAGAACGGGTTAATGGCTGAATTAAGTAGTGCCAACAATTGACTTACGTGCCAGATTTGGTTCCATATTTCGTTTCCTCTTATAAATATGAAATGATCTATGGTACGCAAAACGATGTTGGGTGTAAAGCAGCAGACAAAAACAACCCAAATCCAAGTAAGAACCCTGCTAACTCTTCTTTCATGTGTCATCACTCTTTTCCAGTGATCATTTTTGAAACTCATTGACGCCCTGTAAATCTGAGAATGCTGACGTAAACCTCTGGTGATTTTCAGTTGAGAAACAATCATGATCGTGACAGGAATGAAAAATAGGATCACAGCTTGAAGAATATAATATATAGATCGAGACATCTGGTCAAAATTCGTATTGCTACAATGAAATTTGCCGTTTCTTTTCGCGACTGTGTAAGCATACGCCAACGGGCAGGTTAGGACAAATCCAGCTAACCATGAAAAAACAATATTTCGCTTCAAAGACTTCCTTGCATTAAGAATCTTAAAACGATCGTTCACTGCCTTTCTACGGTTGTAACTCACGGCTAAAAGCGTCAACGTTGAAACCGTGTAGCATGCTTCCAACATCTGACCATGCACTTTGCACATTTCCTCGCCTAATTTCCACTCATTATTTATGTATTCCATTGCATTCAACAACGACATAGTTGTTGTTAAAAAGTCGGCAATTGCAAGATTTAATATGTAACTATCGACGGCTGTGCGTTGGCGACGTTTGAGATAGGCCAGGGAGTGAATAACAAATGCGTTGCCAATTTCAGACAATAAGAACACTGGTATGTAGACCGAAACAAATGCGGGAAACCTTGCATTTTCAGCAGGATCAACAACGGGGTATTCGTGCTTACTGATGTTAACAGCTGCCATTCCTTTATGCTACTATTTGTAGGATTGAATTGTACGTGGGATATGAACTGTCTAAAACAAATTATGCAAAATAATATATTTAGTATACTGCATATTGAATTGATCGAGTGACGCGTATAATATTCAAACGAATTAGACTAAATGCCATTCATCCACACTTTGTCATAAACTACTGTAAACATGCAAGCAGGAGGAAATTAATCGCACTACTACGAAGTGGGTTAACGCATATAGCATGCATAGCAGTAAAAGGTAATTTTTGCGTATTAGTTAAAAAAAGTTGTCTATCCATTAACAAACACTGGAACACTATATGCACAGTGTTGGAAGATTTAGCATTCACTGTGGCACAACTGGTAAAAATTTGAGCTAATTTCGAGGCAAACACTTAAGAGCGTAATAATTTCTATTTTTGTTAACTTAGTTAATTTATAGATTTGAAAACTTGAATTCTTCCTCGGAGACGTTTGAATACCGTCTGCAACCTAGCCGAAACAACCCACAAAATATTGGTTATTAATTAATTAAAGTCATTTTATAAATATGGAAAATGGGTTAATTACAGTGGATCAACACTAAAACACTCAAGGATTATGGAGCATGTACAGGGTATATAGCAATAGTTGAAAAGTTGGTAATTGTTCCCAAAAACGACTAAACATCCGTTGCTATGGCAATAATGAAGAAAACATTGTGTCTTTAAACGCGCTAACTCAATGTCAAAGGAAACGCCTGCGTGGTAGTCCCCAAATTTATTCCAGAACATATTTCATTGCAGTTCAATAGATTATCCGACCTAGTTTCAAAAAATATGTAGAGCCAATTGCTAATTAACACGGATTTTCCAATATTTAATTATTATTTTTTAATTCCTTTTGGTGGAATAATACAATGGGGTTAACATAGAATTTTTTCAAGTAAATTGCATTTAAGCCAAAATAATTATTGGTAATGTCCAGTCATTGTTGTTCCCATTGCAACAGTGCACGGTCACGTCAGGTTTGTCACCAACTTAAAATTATTGCATTGTTTCTTTTTTTATTTCTGACAAGCAAAGTTCTGTCGACTTTTTTTTTCCTAATTTATGATTTTTCCTTTGCTTTAAATAAAGTTGGTTTCCTGATGAATTAAAAAAAAAAATGCTTTTATAATATATACATGTTCTATGAGAACATTTTTGAGTTGCTGAAATGCGAGCTCGATAACTCGACTGAAGACGGCCAAAAAGTGCGGAAAAGTTTTTGTTGTGCCTTAGATATTTAACTAGGGCCTACTTAATGGAATCAAGGCAGCAACGCGTAGTTAGCATCCCTTCACTTAATAAGCTATATACCTCGAAAATCTATGTAGTGAAAATTCGCTAAGCTTAAGCATACAGCTATTAAGTTTTTTGTTGGTTTGCATGGGTGACGAAATATAATGGTAAAGCACATCACTACATAGGCGACTATAGCTGTTGATATTCACCTACAGAAGCGTCGATAAGAAACATATCATCATAAATGAATGCATGTAGAAGATATTATAGTATTCAAATCAAACTAAACGACTCTGAATTCAAGACAAATATGCAATTTTTGTACAATAAGTATAGGTTATTTTGAGGCAACGAGGGGATATGTGATTTATTCACCGAGGCGCGTAGCGCCGAGGTGAATAAACACATATCCCCGAGGTGCCTCGAAATAACGTACTTATTTTTCACACTGCGAGGTCGCATTAATGAGTAAGAATAGAAATAATTCTTAATGTCATATTGCCTTCGTTATGTTATGTTTTGCTCATTTTTTTGTGATGCAAAGACATTGCAGGTGAATATTAGAGGGGATTATTAATTGCAGGTGAATATTAGAGGGGATTATTAAACGGAAATTGATTAGAGGGGAATATTGAATATATTCCCCGATAAAAACAAAGGAAACCGAGCAGGGTGAAAAATAAGCTGTGGTAACGTAATTCAAACACGTGATAGGCTACCTGTATTCCTAAAATATTGGCTAATTGATGTTATAATTGACCATTAACAAAAGTATCATCATGAGAAATTTTGTATAGTTACTTTGATCGACCAATTACTGACCAACTAAACTTATATTGAATACATAATGTAAATATACCTGTAATGATGCTTCCTCCAATCTCCCGTTCAAGGTCTGCGCACATATGGAGCTGTACATCAGACTGCCTAAACCTACAATTTTGTGGTTTTATATTCCCCTGGTCGTTTCCCAAATATTCTGTGAATTGCTGCAGATTATGATTACGATAAAGGTTCTTTGTGGATATGAAACGCGATTAAACCCTGCCCAAAATAATTGCTCTAATTTGAGTATTCAAAGAACATCGGCAAAATCAATCTTAATTCACGACAGACAAGGGTTGGAATTCCAATGAATTTAAAAGCCATGATGCTGAAAATTCTTATTAAACTTGGAAACATAGTGAAGAAGAACAAAATAAATGACATTGTAGCAATTACCGATATAATATCCGCTGATCAGTATATATTAACAAATCCGTTGATCGGAATATATAGAATATCACATTATCACATGCAATTATAAACGACGGTGCATTTGATCAATATAAAATTGATTGTAGATGCGACCAGCTTAGAATTGGTCATGGATACAGCAATTTCGGTAAATTATGATTATTACTGGTTATCATAATCATGGTGAATTGCTGCAGATTATGAATACGCCAAAGTGTTATTGTCGAAACGGAATTAAAGACCTCCCACAAGAAACATAATTATGCACTTTAATTAAAATGAATGCCTTTTACTTTATAACTTCTATCAGAATAATGAGAATACATCGTAACGAAGGGTATTTTAGATGGAGGCAACGCTGGTGGCTACTTGATTGCAATTTCTTCAAAGAGAAGTTGATGCTCGTGATGTGCATACAAAGTACTTTAAATTCGGCCAAAATTATTCGATAATATTTCAATAATATTATTCGCGTGGGCCTCCTTTTCAACATAAAAAATATTAATTAACGAAAGGGTAGCCTGTAAAATATTTTGCTACAAAAGTTAAATTAATAAAACTGTATAGGATCATGATATCGTTTCTTTGGAATATCAAAACAGTTTTGACACGTAACGAACAAAGAAATATAAGGAGACATAACTTTGATATTAATATACGATTTTTCTGTGACTAATGATTGTTTTCAAAACAGAAGGCACTAATAACTATAATTTACTAACTTTCCCTATTTAAGTCCCATATCTTGACATAACTATGAATTTATAAACCTTGTTCACACTAAAGCCTGGTTCACATATGCCTGCGGTATCATCCCGCATCAGGCGCTATGTATAGGTTATTTTGAGGCAACGAGGGGATATGTGATTTATTCACCGAGGCGCGTAGCGCCGAGGTGAATAAACACATATCCCCGAGGTGCCTCAAAATAACGTACTTATTTTTCACACTGTGAGGTCGCGTTAATGAGTCAGAATATCAATAATTCTTAATGCCATATTGCCTTTGTTATGTTGTTTTTTTTCTTCATTTTTTTGTGCTGCAAAGACATTGCAGGTGAATATTAGAGGGGATTATTAATTGCAGGTGAATATTAGAGGGGATTATTAAACGGAAATTGATTAGAGGGGAATATTGAATATATTCCCCGATAAGAACAAAGGAAACCGAGCAGGGTGAAATATAACATTGTTTACATGCAGTTGTTCATGCATACATTAATTGTGAATTATTGGGTTGAACTGCTATAACGACAATAGCCCGGATACGTACAGATGAATATATGTGCATGAACCAGGCATATAAGGACGTCAATTGTGCAAATAAAATACAAGAACAACAGATCGCGTAAACAAAACGCTCTATGGAAAACATAAGTGGCGGATGACGTAAGGGGATTTAAATGAAGCGAGAAAATATCCCATTTTTATCTTTGTGTTCGAAAACTTCCTGCACTTATTCTCGACATATTGAATATAAATATAGAAAATATTACTCGTGGGCCGCACACTAACGTGATGGGACATCATTTTTTTACTATGACGGGAACATTTAATCCCATATGAGCAGAGGAAGAGCATAACTTGGGGTAAGTGTGATAATCAGCAGGTTTGGAGCCGGAAAATAGGAACAAAATATTAATAAGCGTATCAATTATGCAGGGTAGCATTGTTGAAGAGAAAATATGTATTCCTCTCCTTTGTGCATAAATATTTAGGCTAAGAGTGAGTGGGCATGTGACGTACGTGTTTTAGTTAGTTGTAATGAATTGTGAGTTTACAGTCGTGTTCGCAGGCTATGTGATTCGCAGGGATTGAGTGAATGTTTTGTTAATAGGCTGTATAATGAAACATATCGGTGTAAAACGACGAAAAGTAATGTACATTATTTTTCACCCTGCTCGGTTTTCTTTGTTTTTATCGGGGAATATATTCAATATTCCCCTCTAATCAATTTCCGTTTAATAATCCCCTCTAATATTCACCCATGCAATGTCTTTGCATCACAAAAAAATGAGCAAAACATAACATAACGAAGACAATATGACATTAAGAATTATTTCTATTCTTACTCATTAATGCGACCTCGCAGTGTGAAAAATAAGTACGTTATTTTGAGGCACCTCGGGGATATGTGTTTATTCACCTCGGCGCTACGCGCCTCGGTGAATAAATCACATATCCCCTCGTTGCCTCAAAATAACCTATACGTAACAAGTGTATAGTACTGTGAATATTTCACCCGCGTCACATTATCTCAATTGATAGCAGTCAGGATTTATGAATTGAAAATATGGGTAATGATCACAGCAATAGTGTCTTAATTTGAACAATATTCCTAATCCAACTCCAACACTAACGTGTTACCCGAACCCTAATGTAATATTGCTTAATTATTGCATGCTGTAATCTAACACTAACGTTCA